GTAAATTGTACTAAAACCTGTAGAGATTCGCTCATAGGCTAGACCAAACGCTAGAAATTTCAGAATATATAGAGCTCGACGAGACCTATCGATTGAGTACCTTTGACACCATCTTCGAGTCTTTTGTAGTAGTAAAAAATAGTAAACTAGTAAATTTCACTAACTAACTTACTAGATCATTATTTTAATGTACCAAGACATCTGACCAACTTAAGTCGAAGTTATATCAAGATACAACTAATTGAGGTATCTTAAAGCCACTGTAGATGCGACATTTAAATAGATATTAGCTCGAAAAGATCCGAGGGATGAAGCTTGATGTAAAATACTTTAAGAGAAATGGACACCATATGTAGTTCTCGAAATAATACTTCCATTTGCTGTAGTGTTAGACAATAGAAAAATAAGAAAATTGAAAATATTGTTTGTATATGGTTAACACTTATTCGAAACAAAAACTATCAAATAGAGGAAGACTTGTGAGAAGCAACTACACAGCCGAGACATCATTTATAAGATTTGTGGATTTACGTATCGGTTTGTTCAGATTGTATACGAGATATTTCAAAATAAATGACAGCTTTTACCAATTTCTAAGCGTTCATCGCCTGTGAGGTGGCGACAACCGGATCCGTCGGTGTGAACCTCTTTTCCAGATATTTTAATGAGGAAAAGCACGGAGGAATATTCATCTGGGAGATTCTCGCATTCCTCTCTAGGGCACATCGCAGTAGAAGAAAAATCACGATAATTTTTCTTTCGTTGCCCTTTTTTAAAATATGGAGCTTTAAATTGCAAAACGCATGTTATACCAGTTCCTACGGAAATTAATTTTTTAGTGAACATTTTCGTCCGCCCCTCTTTCGTCTGTTGATTAGTGTGACTAAATATGTTTTTCCATTCGGTCACAGACAGCACAATTGATGTCTGTCCAACAGAATAAATATCATTATCGCCTATAATATCGTCATTTTCATTCTGTCACGAGCACGTGTGTTCGGCGGCTCAGACAGGGGAAATGATGACTCTGGACCCAGAGTCTGGGACTAATGTTGTATTTGAAGCAGAAGTACTGCCATCGCGATCGATATTTTGACATTGACTTATATTTCTTGTCACTCTTTCAACTGTTTCTGCAACTTTATGACGATTTGAACGCCAAATCTTATATAATGATGGACGTGTCGATTCGTTATGATCTAGCCTCAAGCTGTCGATGACTCGTGCCCAAAGTGATGATGATGACGACTTTGTTTTCTTATTTCATTCTCCATGATTCATCTTTCAATTCATTCGTACTATCTCCCAGAGGAGCAATAGCAGCCACATATTGATCCAAAGTAATTCTTGACCAAATATCCTTACCCTCTGTAGACGAACTTGATCCTACCATTTAGTGATAATTTAATATCCTAGATGAATGAATACGAACGAGAGGGAACGTTAATCAGGCAACAGCAGTGCTTCAAATCTTCTAATTATGAAATTTATTTTCTCTTTCGCTTCAGCACGCATATATAAGTATGTAGATGAGAGAACGGAGAAGAAACACAGTGCATAAGAAGAAGAGAGATGAAGGAAAATAAAAAGATTAACTCCCAAGAAAAATTATCTTTGCGGCTATCATGAAGAGGCCATTGATTACGACACGGTCAAGCGTTACGAAATTGCATTTTTTTTACTTTCGATACCTATACCTATATATTCTCGTTAAAGACATAAACAATTCACGAAAGTTTTACTGCAAGACTACATCACTTCAATCTGCGACCGATAAAAATCGCATCGGTTCATCTCTCATAGAAACGAAATTATCGAAGAAATACCATCCGTTACGGAATTCCAAAAAAAGCCCCGAATTTGAGGGTGACCTCAGATAATCAAGTTTCCCGAAGCAGCACAATATCTGCCGACGATCCCTCCTCACTACCATAGTTCGGCTTAGGTTAAGCTTTCAACATGTCAAATGATTCTCATCAAACCCATGTTTGTTTGAGACAAACATCAGCAACAATGTCCGTTACGGAATTTCACTCGTTACGGAAGTGCGTTCTCAAAAGTAAAAGATTTTAGAGCTGGATATCTCGGTCGTTCCTTGTGATTTCACCATAGCTTCTCTTTGATCGCAAACCTTGCCTCGGTGCGCACACGAATCAGAACATGACCGATATATATGTTGATCAGTGGGCAACAAAAAATAATTATACGAGTTATTTTGATCAATGCGCTCCTTCATTATGCACATATTCCACAACTGATCCATTAAATTTCTCGTATATCATCAGTCTTTTATTGAGTCTGTATGGTGGTCTCACTGCCATATTTCGCTTGATAGCACCTTTGTTAATCAATATCGCCTTGAAACTGAAACGTCAATTGATCAAAAGCATGATGAAGTGTGGTATGTTTTGTCTACAGTTGCAGTGATTCTATTCTAGAAAAAGTGCATCTTTCAATGTTTAGAACTATATTTCAAATCTATTCGTCATTCGATTTCGTGGATAAGACAGTTGAACTTGTTCAAATTGGCTACTAATCGAACAATGGATGAGATCAAAGAACAACGCATAATCACCCGTTGCTATTTAGTTTTATTCGCAAGTACGACTCTTCACTTCACATATCCTTTGTATTCTCCAGATTTAAAAATTATTTCAGTTACAGATTATCAGATTGAAAGGAGGGTGAAGGTGAAACGTTTTATGATTGGAACCGATAGAGTTCATCGAGTTGTACTGGGCACCCGTGTTAGTTCGATTGGAAGTTGCATTGAAATGAATCGACTCAAAGATATCCTATGTGTGTATTTTTTTTCTGCCGTGACAAAAAATTCGATATGTGGGCAGGAACGGCAGGATGAGGAGCCGTTGGGGAATCGAGATGTATTTCACCCGGATTATCTGTCTGCTAGCCATAACTCTCTGTTGTAACTGCCGTTATCAAACTTTGCAAGATAGATGTGTTAGATGCTGTAAAGTGAATAACTCCATTTCATCTTTGTAACATACTGAAAAAGTGAGCGCATTACTAGAACTAGTCAGTATTCTCGATCCATTTTTCTATACGATAACTCTACACAACAAAAAGCTAATGTGATTGAGATGCAATTTTCGGCGGTGTATTATTGCATTGAAATCTCACTAGAGCTCGAAGATGAGACTGATTGGATGCGTGAGTCATGTATTACTAAAGAAGAATTGGTATTTCTCTATGATTCCTTGTGTTTTCTATCTGATACAATTTTTGCCGTACACAAAACTCTAAGATAAAAACCAAAACCTTCGTATTTCTTTATCATTGTAGTTTCTGTGTCGATCCTTATTGTTTTTACTACTATCAATGCTAAAACAAATACAGTGACTGTATCAAATCCGTCATTAAACACATACAAAGAATTGCAGAACTCGTATTCGAGTACACTAAAATGTGCTTGTTCGGAAAGCGCAATGCATTATGAAACTTTTGTTTCATTGTCACCCATATTTCATCAAGTATGTCCAAGCGATTTGGTGAGCGATCCATGGATTTCATGGCTTGTAGAAAGCCTATCAATAAGCATGAACGATAATGTGTGGCTTTACACCTCTGGCTCGTACTTTGAACAGTTGGCGGCTCTCTGTCAACTCGCTAATACGACGGCTAACGACGATATTCGTGCTTTTCTCGCGCGAACTCTTGCTACTTCGCATGTGCTCAACACAGATGACTTTAATACTCAATTAAATACAACCATCAATCAACTGATCGAATCGACTGTCATCAATTTTGGTCTTTTCATCAATATGACACGTCTTTTCATGCAAGTTGATCAACCATTGACAGTATGAGTGGATTCAAATGTTATCATCGATTCTGCATTTAATATATACGATGGTGCTGGTCAACAACCATCACCGGTACGTATTTATTCTCAGTTCAATAGTATACAAAGACATTCTAGGAACTTCTTTTGACTACGACAATTTCTTGTGTTATATTTGATCATGAAGAAACTTGTGGAAAGTGCGTTCAACACATCTGATATTCATCTACTCTGTAGTCAGCAGAATGCAAAATACATCTTTCCATGCGAACGAGAGGCGTAAGTGTGGGGACCTCAGCCTCTATGCCATTCTCAAAATTTTTACAGCTAAATTATGCTATGAGTCCAGTCAGAACACCGAAATTAGGGAGTTGAGTCGCTCGAAAAACATTTCAAAATAGCGAACAGTGAAATAACTACTTTTTTGTACATAGACAAAAAAGTAAAAAAGGAGTACAGGAAGAAATAAAAAGCCCTGGACTGTTCACCAGACTACAAATTAATAATTAACTATGACGTTCGAGAAAAGATTTCCAAATGTTAATTGAGTTCCTAACAAACTAAATCTTTCGTCGTAACTTTACTTTATTTTAGTTTTCATTTCGTCTCAATGCTATTCAGCAAAGCTTTTCGAGTGATCGAGTATGTCAATGTGCTCATGATATGCATTGTCAAGGTGAAACTGATTTCATACCAGACGATTTAAATTCATTGGTGGAATATTCAGACTCCAGTTCTCCAGAGAACAGCAGTGGCTACACCATGTTAGACCTCACCTCTTCAGAGAACAGCAGCGACGATACGACGTCAGACTTCAGCTCTCCAGAGAATGTCAGTGATTACACTACACCAGCCTCTGGCTCTGCAGAGAGCAGCATTGGCCACACTACGCCAGCACCCAATTCTTCAGGGAGCCGCAATAAATATACCACGTCTGACTTCAGTTCTCCAGAGGATATCAGTGATTACACTACACCGGACTTCGGTTCCGCAGAGAGCAGCATTGGCCACACCATGTCAGCGCCCAATTCTTCAGGGAACAGCAATAAATATACCACGTCCGACTTCGGTGCTCCAGTGAGCAGCAGTAAATACTCGGCACCGGGTATAGTTAAAGGCTGTTATATTATTGATTCAGTTCTTCTCTCGACACTCGAATGTTTCTATGCGGATTCAAAATAGATGGAAGAGATGTTATACTACATAAATAGGTTAATATATGTTCAACACAGACAACCTGCAACATTTACTATCCATCCATTGGTTTATAATCCAGCATCAACTCGTTTTCCTCCAAAAACTTTACTTTCATTGGTTATCAATAAAATGATGATTGAAGAATGGAATATCTCTTTGTCATTTGATCGTTATTATGAAACATGTGCACCAGCTTACTGTACGTACACTCAGATAGCCCACACAAGGAGTTTTATTGAAGTATTATTGACATTAATATCAATGATTGGTGGTCTTTCCGTCGCATTACGCTTACTCACACCCATATTCGTGAACTGTGTTCTTAGTTTATTTAAACGGAAAGTGAAAAAACCACAAGGTAACCCATGAGCATAGATTCTATAAAACTATTCATTGCTATGAAACCGAAAAGATCTTCAATCTAGTTTTTTCTCTTTCAATGACTCTTTCGTAGGAATAGATCGTCTAATATTTCTCTTTTTCCTCTCATAGCTCGCCAAAAGTTGTCCGATCGATTAAAATCAGAACCTAAAAATTCAATGAAGCTATTGTCTGAAAAATTAACCAGTCTGAACATATTCCCTGCACGAACATTCGGGGCTACAAATGACCAAAACACAACAAAACGTCTAGGTCAATGGTCAACTCGTCTTTACATTATTTTTTTGGTCATCACCTTATCTATTCTTGCTCTTCATACAATGTTTAAACCACAAACGTTGACAAAAAGTTTTCCTACATCATCGTTGAATGTTTACAATGATCTCATGCATGATCATGGTGATGCACTGCAATGTCCTTGCTCATTAATTTCATCATCATACAGTCGATATATTCAAATTGTACCTATCTATCATCAGGTAAGAAAATGAAACTCTTTTTGAATACACGATCAAAGAAGTTCTTCTTGATTCGATTAAAGATTTGTTCAAGTCTTTTTGTCTCGAATGAATGGCGAATGAGTATTATTGCAAATCTTCTTCCTGATTTATCTGTATATACAATCAAAGATTATCGTCGTTTTATTTCTGCTCATTTGCAATTTCTCAAAGGATTATGTGAACTTTCCATTCAATCAGTAGATCAATCTATTCATCAAGCTTTATCTTCATTATTGATCACCAATCAATTACTATCAAACTAAACATTTCAAACGCGTATTGACACAATGATTGAGAATACTAAATCAAATGCTCCTGTAATACTCAATCGTCTTGTCATATTACTTCGAATTACGAATCATGGAGATACCATTGTGTCAACTTATGGAACCAATTTTCAGTATATGGATCCTTCGTATGAAAATCAGTCATATTCAATAGCGCACACTGAATCGGTAACTTATGATCAGAATTGTTCATGTGGTTTGAACTTCACTTGCTTAACTGAAGCTTCTTTTAACAAGACAAATTCAACAGAATCGAAAATAATCACAGGTCTAAAAATGGGATGTATTCCGAGTGAATCATTTCTTGCATCAACTTTAGAATGTTTCTATGATTTATCATGTATTAATCTCATACACGAGATGACAAATACCACAGACATCGATGTGCCTATTCCTCTGAATGTAACCAATAGTAGATTTCCAAATAATTCGACTGTGAACGATCTTATCAATGAACTATTTGTTGAAAGATGGACAACAATGATGAATTATTCATTATATTTTGATCAATGCGCACCGAAGATCTGTTCGTATTCATATACACAACAACTCAATTCAATCTATACAGTAAATTATATCCTCGGTCTCTTCGGTGGCTTAACAATCGTTTTCAAATGGATTTGTCCAAAGATAATTTCTCTTCTAAATAAACTCTTTCGGTCTCAAAAGAAACGTACAAATCAAATTCAAACGACAGTTTTCGTGATCGATGTTAAACCAATGAATTCAATAAACAATCACAATGTTACTGTTGATCTTCAATCATTACCAACAATTTCAACACATTCGTTTGTTTCTTTTCTTTTCAATTAATAATTTGAAATTTTGAATCTTTTAGACGAAATTCTTTTCCAACAACATGTAGTTATGTGATCTATTATTCAATATTGTTTATACTTGTGATATCACTCATCCTCGTTCCACTTATTTATACGCGATTACAAAGAAAAACCTCTCGTTCATAAACAAGTATGATGCTTTTCTGCAGAAGATTCAATATTTCCACAGGGAAAAGATTTCATAGTTAAGAGATGCATTTATTTTCTTCAATTTATAATTTGTAATATCTTTTGTTGTTGACGAACTTTGAAGTAGAATGAAAGAATATTCTAATAGAAAAACATCGCAGAATTGAAATATCAGATTAGACAAAGAACATGACCGATTAAGAAAGAATAAATAACTCATTTAGACGATTCGCATATCGATTCTGTTACTATATATAAATTTAATTGAATTTTTCATAAGTTTCATATTTATTTAACAGAAGTTTTATTCGTTTAGAACAAATAATCTGAATCGATGATCAATTTTCATTTGATTGAATTCTTTGCATTTAATGTGCTTAACAAGACACATTTACACCATGATCAATTATACAATTACAACATGGGATCAATATCATTTATTATTCTGCTTTAAGTTATTTGTTCGCAATAAATCCTAAAACATCAATTCAGATTTTATTCATCGAATTTTGAATAGTCTCGAAAAAAAAACCCTTGGACGTGATCGTTTTCGATAGTTTCGGGAATATCTTCTATAGAATGTCCTTTATTGTGAACTTGAATGATGAATCGAATTCGGTCGATATGCGCTTAGCGCTACAGTTTACAAAGATATTACAGCTAATTTTAGGTTGCCCTTCTGCAGAGATGAAGTTGCAAACATAGTGTATGAAGAAAAAACAACGAAAGTTATTATTCCCTCTACTGAAAGGAGGGTATACACAGAATTTAAGCTAAAGTTCGTTCGTCCGGTCGTTTTATTTCGCTCAAATAGTATATACATGAAAGACAGGTGATCACTTTAAGGGTTGACCGAAGGGTAATCAGGGTCGAGGATCACGAATCTGAGGTTAATTTTTTCTTAGTTACCAACCTTTGATTTGTTTCTCTATCGTTTGAGAAGAGATATATTTCTGCATTTTCCTAAAATCCTTTGCAGCAGATAGTGGTCTAAATGCTATTCCTGGATGTGATGTGAGTCAAGCTAGTAGCCTAAGCCTTTACACGAAAAGATGCCATATTGCTTACATCAAGATACTTCTTGTTCAAGAAATGATAAAGAAGTGGTATAAGGTTAATATAATTTTCTGTGATACGCTGTGACACGTCGGATCTTTCGATAGAGTTTGAGCGAAAATATGCTGTAAAAAGATATGCGCGTCAGTGCAATTCCATCTTATTACCTACAGAGATATCGACTATACAGATAGTATTCTAAATACGTGAAGCACAATGATGGACATTCCTTTCACAGCGAAGATTATAAAGCAAAACTTTTTAACTAGTTGATTTTGGTAATGAAATGAAACATCAGCGCTGTACAAGCGAGAATGAAAAGAAAGGTAGTTATTCACGTTGAAAGTTAATCAATAGTAAAAAGTATAACGCAGGCAAGCATACTAACAGCTAGCCGTCAGTGGCCGACCGGAGGGAAGCCGACGAACGACTAGGCGCTAGTTTGAGAGAGTTTTAGGAAGTAAAATGAGTATGAGTAAAAGCCTGGGACGAATTATCGGATGATTGAATCATTCAAATCAAATGATTTTTATGTCTTTCTTTTGAAGACACATAAGGAATCTGATGATGTCCTTTCAGTAGAGGGTCAACGGCTACTGTGCCGCGTTACTTGTAACCTATGGTGCGAAAGTCTTCGTAGAAAATGTCGTCGAGTTTTCCAACTACCATTTTCTTCAAATGTAAGCTTATCAAACAAGAAGAGTGTTTTTGAGAGGCGCGAAAATCGCATTTGTACAATGTATTTCAGGACTTTTGTTTAATTCTCAGTTTATAATGTTTGCATTGTACGACAATGTCAACTTGATATTATTGTAGAGCATAAAATTTGCTATAACATGAGTCATCACAATAAGGAAAATCACAATTTGCTGGAAAGCTACATTCTTTATAAAGACACTATTTTTCATAAAAATGGCTATTTATCAAAAATTCGATTTTCCTTAAATTCACACTTTTTAAAACGGAAAATTTAACCTGTTCAATGCGAGTTTAAAAAAAAGCACATAGCCTGTTTTGTAGATCAAAATGTGCTCTGTGACAATCTACGAGTGTACACTTCTTCTTTTCTCCTCTTGTGCGTATAATGACCTCGATATACGCTTCTCCTTCTCTTCCTTTCTTCTTTCCTGTTTGCACTTCTATATTAGCCTCTTATCGGATATACTCAACTTACGAGGGAACCTTCTCAACTGATTAATCACTTTTGAGCTCAGTCTCTATGCATAAGGTAGACCCCAATGAGGTATGAAAAATCTCAAAAGGACAAATCCCCATAGGGCTTCTTCTTGGAGTTATTGCCATTTTACTGAAATTTTACTGTGAAGTATGGTATATAGTAAAAACACGAAGTATTGTATTTTAATCTGAAACGTTGCCCATAGAGTGCTCTACTAATGGGTAGAATATCCTGAAAATTTAAGCACTAAAGAATGTTTTCCTCATAGCGTATTCAGCCTCCTAAAAATCAACCATATTCCAAAATATTTCTTGATTTTTTTAGACTTCAATACGTTATGAAGAAAACGTTCTTTAGTGCTTAAATTTTCAGGATATTCTACCCATTAGTAGAGCACTCTATGGGCAACGTTTCAGATTAAAATACAATACTTCNAGCACAGAGTGGCAGGAATAGATGGAATTTACTTTATTTCTGAGCAAGATCCCTGAAATCAGGCGTTGATCTGCTCGAGAAAATCAAGAAATCCATTTTTAGTATAGGGGTCTTATAATTATGGTACAGCAAGTTTTCGAGAATTTGTATTTTTTTCTCTAACTGTTAGGGAAACGCAAATCGAAACTTAGCTTGATAGATAGTACTTATGCAGTCATACACCATCATACCATTAGTTGATCATCGTCTTCTATTTCGGAAGTAAAATAAACATTTTTCAATGCATGTGTAAGGGGGGCTTATAATTTTGGTACACCCTGTAATGACCTCGATATGCGCTTCTCCTTCTCTTCCTTTCTGTTTGCACTTATATATTAGCCTCTTATCGGATATACTCAACTTATCGTGAGAAATGCAGAAAGGGTTCAGAAGTAAGTTATTTTTAATGCAAAAAGTATGCAAAACTTAGTTTTAGAAAAAATTCTAGGCCTTTTTCCAACAATTTTCCGATGTCAAATTATATACAAAAGGTGTCGCAGGAAAATCATGGATTTACCCTAATATTATTTTTCAAATAAATGGTTATTCTTTTTCCTTGGGAATGTTTAGTGTGGATAATAAGAAAGATAAATCTTATATAGTCTCTTCGTAAATTATCTCTTTCGATTTTTATCGTGTAAAACCTCTTGTAAAAATAATGATACTTTTCAATTTTATTCATCAATATAAATCTCAATTGTCATATGCTATATTATTCTTTCGTATATATATGGGTTCAATTAAATACTGTCTAGTTTAATATTTTTACCCTCCTAGGCTAAAAAATGTTGTAGTCGATAAAAAAAACCTTGTACATATAAAAAAACTCAGTTCAGACCGAAGAGTTTCAGCTCATACCAATAATTCTCTCATCAAGGAAAATGGGAATTTGAGTCTCGATAGTTTTACAAACTGTTTCCATCATAAACCTATCGTATTGACATATCAGTAAAGGGATCCGTTCATGTTTTTAAGAAATCGAGACATTCTCGAAAACTTCAAATTGAATTGGTCTCATTACTATTACGTATTTTCTTTCATTCTCAAGATTTCCTATTGTACATGTGTTTCTTATTTGTAACAGAGTATGGGAAAAGAGAATACAGTTACTCTTAAGATGTAATGAAGTTCTTATCATCTTTGATAATACCTTTTTTGTCATGATCATGATGATGTGTTGACAATGATAATAATTTGTGTTTTATCACGAAAAGAACACATTTGATAATATTCAAAGTAGAAAAATGTTGATGAAAATAAAATGTTTCAATTTGATTCTATTTGTTGCATTATTTGGTGTCGTTATAAATGATTTATCGACTGAATGGAATGAATTTAAACGTAAATATAATAAACAATATGCTAATATTAACGAAGAAAATGAACGTCAACAAATATTTATTGAAAATATTAATGAAATGTATTCTTATCAACAAAATCATCCATATGCAACTTTTACCTTAGGAATTAATCATTTATTTGATCGACGTAGACAAGTAATATTGACTTTCATCAATGTATAACTATAGAAGCACTTCTTTTCTTTTTAAATAGGAACTTACCTCTATAACACCAAAGAATCCATTAAAATCTCGTGTACCATCTTCTTTTAAAAGTTCTATTGAAAGAAAAGATTTACCTAAATCACTTGATTGGCGTGATAAAAAAGTGATTACTGAAGTCTATCATGGTGAACTTGGAGTAATTGTTACTGCTATTGTTAGTACAGGTAAATATCAAAATGAAAAATGAATCTTATATGATTATTATTATGTATAATTAGAACTTGTTGAAAGTCTTCATGCAATTGAAACTGGTGAACTTATTGATGGAAGTATACCACAAGTTTTTGATTGTTGTCCGCAACCTATTGATGCTTTTGATTGTATTCAAAATATGAGTGGAGTTTGTCGAAAGATTGATTATCCTGAAAAACTTGGACGATGTGAACCAAATATATGTAAACCATTTGCTACGGTATAAAAATTATTTTCTAAAGAAATGAAATAAATTATTTTTAATAATTTCTAGTTTGATATAATTAAGAGAATGAATGAAACTGACGAAAATCAAATGTTAGAATGGATTCAAGATTCTACTCTATGGGCAGAAATAAATGCAGATGGAAAAGGTTTTTCTTCATATAAAGGAGGTGAAGAAATTTATTTAATATTTATCTTGAATTATTTCTTCTTTTTTCCTTCAAGGTATTTATGACGAACCATCATGTACAGAAGGTTTTTTAGATAATATTGTAAGATATAGAAGATTTATGATATTTTTATAATTAATCTTTTTAGGTACAAATTATTGGATATGGTAGTGAAAATGGAAAACCATATTGGTTGGGAAGAACTCATTGGGGTAAAATGTTAAGTTTTCAATGTTAAAGATTTATGATTAGAATTTTTTGTAAATCTAGGTGAAAATTGGGGTGAAAAAGGTTATTTTCGAATGGCACGTGGTAAAAATATGTGTAGAATTGCTGAAGTTGTCATACAAATTGCTAATACAAAGAAAAATGGTTCTATTCAACAATACAATAATATTTCCGTTTATTTTATCTTTTTCTTAACAATAATTATTTATTTAATGAAAAATATATAACCGACATCCTTTAATCTATTTTCTTCAGTTAATTCAATTCAAGTTTTAAGCTTTTTAATTTCTTGAACATTGCGAAATATCTCCTACCCTCACCCTCATATTTTACGGAGACACTATTACATCCTGGAATGGTCAAACAAAGACAAGCGATTATTTTATATAACATGTAGAAACAGTAGCTATTTCAATGAATATGTCGTAGTAGAGGGCCATGAGCTTTTGCACAGAAAAAGCTGACTTTTGAATTTAAATGTTAATTTCTCTTAGGGGAACTAGAACTGACGTTCTACAGATCGAAAGCATTTGCTGTGCTGGTCTGATATTATTTACCATTGCATCTGTAATTGTACTTTAACTCATAAATGAATAATTTTTTTCTGTTTTGATTTAGAAATTAATGTATATTCAATTAAAGGCGCAAGCAACAAACTGCTACTATTTTACAAGCTTTAACACTTTTTTTATCAAATTCTGTTGTCGCCAAAAATTTCACACCAACGACAATTAGTTATTATTAATATTATCGAGCAAATCCTGAATGCACGTCTCTTCGACTATGGTTTCTTACTTGATTACTTTTTTCAGAGAAATCAATCTCAAATATCTTGTACACGAGAACATGATCATAGGAGAAATATCAAACGGAGATGAAAATAGTTTTCTTTGTGTTTAGGGATGTGGGATGAGAGTGTAAATGAAGGCAACACTTTACGTACAAACCAAGATGCTAAACAAAAATTTCAGTGTCACCATTTTTTAAAATTCCATATAATTTTTTTCCTCATATTGGATTTCTTTTGTTGTAACTTTTCATTGACGATTCTAATCTGCTATTCTACATCAAATCATTCAAGACATGTATTAAATGTTACATTGCATAATATCTTTTTTTCTTGAATCAGTAATTGCATTGATTTCTTTCTTGTAGGAACCTATATTTAAATATAATGATGCTAACACTTTTAATGGTCAATTTGTATTTAAATTATTGTAATTGAATGCTAAATTATCAACTATAGTAACAAAATGTGAATGAATGCGTAATAAACTTTTTTTTTCATAGTAAATATACGATGAAAATATCTAATAGCAATGAGAGAATACATTTCAGTGCCCATCTTTTCAAGACAATTAGACCTTGATTAGACATGAAAAGCTTAAAATGAATTCATTCCATTGCGTCTATCCTTCAGAACAGTATTTATTTTGAAGGAAATTGAAGTTTGTAGCTCAACATTTATTGATCTATCGAATGATGCTGTTCAGCACTTAAATTTCGGTAGAATGATTATAATTCTGGAGTGAAGGTGCACTATAAGACGCTTGAACATCTGAATATTTTTTTCGTCAGCATCACCAACTACACTTTTTCGTGCTCCATTGAAAAATTCTGACTTCATTATTGAAACAAAACAAGATATACAAAATTACTCGATACCTTCTTTTCAAGATGAACCTCTTATAACAGATACTTCCAAGCACCCATCTGACTATATTTAGATATTTAAAAATTATTTATTTTTTTATTTCTAAGTTTCAAATGAAAAAGTAAAAACTTATCTACAGTCTTCGTCCTCACGATTGAATATCAAAGTTTCAAAGTGATGTAGTCGTTTCATAAGAATTCTTATTGTTACAAAGAACAGCAACAATTTGCATTAATTTATCGTACTATATTTTAAATTCCCGTTTTTTTTTAATGAAAATGGATGAGCATCGTTGTCACTCTTGTTTTCATGCATCTGATCTGCTCATAAAAGCTAGTCATTTTTTAAAGGCTTCTTCATTTATTTTATAGAAAAAGGTAATATTTTATAGATCGCTAGTTTTAACCATTTTGAAATTGAACAGAAAAAATTCAAATGTTTTAGCTAATAGAAATGATAGAAGGTCGAAATGTACATTTAATTTCTTATGCCAACTAATTATTTTAACATAAAAAGAGCATTCAAGAACTTTTTAAAAATATGTTCGAAATTTCACTTTATTCGATATAGAGTGAATAAACAATATCCAGGATGGCATTTATGCTGATATAATATAAATCAAACTGTTTCACAAGTGTTTTTTTTTCTCATTACGTCTAACTATATATCCATTTGTTTTAAAAAATAATGAAAAACAGAAATTCGTTCTTAAATAAAATAAGTTGTTTGTTGAGAGAAGAATTTTCTGCATAAACAAAAAGAAAATAACGAAGGTCCAAAAACACGAATCTATTGTTAGTTTTTGTAAATAGAATTTGCTTTTTATAAGAAAGATACGAATAAATTTTTCAACAAGCGTTACTTTTGAACTTTTATTTCCATAGTAAAAAAGGTAGAGAACAAAAACAAATATGACTTAAGGTCGTTCCTAGTCATAAAAATTAACTGTGCATTGAAAAAAAAGGTTCTTTTTACCTCTTATGACCAACTTGTATATAAAGCATGAAGCACTTATATTAATGATTGTCACTTTAAAAAACTCCTTTTTAAAACGATAATTCTTCACAACAATATTGTTCTACAGTAGGTCCTATTATCCGATTAACTTCGTAAAAAATGATAACCATTCGTTTTGCATCAGTAAATAAGCTTACTATCTATTACATATATTTCTGTTAGATCTATTTTGGTTCGTTAATAAGTAAATTATATATTCCCGTTTGAATAGATTAAAGAAACGTAGAAATTATAATTCTTTTGATTTCTGTCGAAATAATGTAAGTCTGCTTTCCTAGCCATTAACGTACAGCTTCGAATTACCACGTCAATATATCGGTATTTATTACTGAAAGTCTATATAAACTCCCTTTTCGAGATATTCATTCTCAATCACATACTGAAAAAAAAAACAATTCTCCTAATGAAAAGTAATTATTGAAGAGAGAATAGCAAAATATTTCGCACTACCAACTATTTTCTTGCAGGAGAGAAACAATTTAATATATTTTCTTTTAAATACAGTTTTTTTTTTCTACTCGAAAAATCATGTCAACCTTAATGCTGTATTCATCATTTCATTCTACTTATTTTCTATAACTACTCCCAAAAGTAACACAGATTCAATACTTAAATCAATTTGAATTTTACTCTATCAATAGTTACTGTCGATTAAGATTTTTTATTTTTCAAAAAAAAGTAAAGATATAAATCATTTCTAGTATTCATCTTCTATTATTATATTTACCATATTGCTGTATTTTATTTTAGTGGCAAACATGTTCAATCATATTTCTCAATTCTATCAAAATACGAAGTCTTATATTCAAAATTTTAATTTATTTCCATCTATTCCTCCATCAACCGATCAACATCAACTTCAGAATGAAAAGATTTCCACGCGAATATTCATTATTCTTCCGATTTTATCATTAACTATTCTTCTCTTATATACTTCTTTGATTAATGTTACACAAACTATTAATATTAACACACCAACAATATTAACATATCAAGAATTACATTCGAAATATTCACAAGTATTAACATGTCCATGTACACAAATATCGATGAGTTATGACACATTTCATCAAGTATGTAGCAGTTTCCTTGTCAGTGATGATTGGATTTATTTCCTTTATGAGTCTGCCTCTGCCAGCTACATGTATGTTAAGGATTTTCGTTACGTGAGCAGATCCATATTTCAAAGTTTGAGCTTTCTGTGTAACTAAGTAAATCAGACGATTTCTAATCGTCTGAATCAGTTTTATTCGAATCAATTTATAAGTGCATCTGTCATATCATCAGAACTATTTCAATTACAAGTTGAATCGTTAGTTAATCAATTTATCTCATCAACAACAAATGATTTTTTATTGTCATTAACGACAATACGAAATACTACTCAGAGTAACGGGATATTCACTGGTCCTTTGACTAACTATGCATTTGTAACGTATGAAAATGAGGATTACACACCTCTCTTTGCGCGAACATACCGGGGATGTGATTGTGGGCTTTCAGCAAGCTGTAATTTTCCATCATACATTCGTGCTTACGAAACTGAGACCACATTATTCGTTATACCAGGGTTCTATAGTGCATGTTACACAATTGAATCATTACTTCAATCTGATCTTCAATGTTTTTATGATCAAACATGTATAGATGAGCTACAATTCTGGTTCTTATCACGTGCACAAAGGAATATTACATCTCTTGATAGTTCAATGACAAGTCGCTTTTCGCTAAATTCAACATTTGAAGAAATTCTTAGTGATTTAATGGTTGAGAAATGGAACTCGACATTAATGTATGAGAAATACTATTATGTTTGTATGCCAACAGAGTGCACCTATACGCGGCAAGCAAAGAATAATGCTATTTATATTGTAACTACACTATTTGGACTCACTGGTGGCTTGACAAAAGCGTTTAGATTAGTGGTACCATTTCTGGTTAAATATACCATATTATTTATTCAAAAGTGGAAAAGAAAAAATGCTGCAATCTTACCAATGATTGAGATGTAACTTCTTCGAAAAAAATATGATTACTTTATAAGATATAAACTGACTATTTTTGCTTTCAATATAGATATCTTTATCAAATGATTTAAGTCAAAATTAAATGTATACGCAAATATCTTCTCAATCAATAAACTATATAATCATTGTTTTGAGTTTAAAAATTAATAAATACATACAATAAATACTATCTTTAAGGAGAGATGTCGGTAAAAATGAGGACTTTCTCATGAACCGTATGCTCAAAAATATTTTTCTTGATGTGATTAGGTTCCAGTATTCATTCAATCGAAATCGACGATGAAATATTTTCTAGCATTCGAGTTTTAGATGCCTTCTATGTAAAAAACGAGGCAAAAAAGCTGACTTAAATCGATTGTAATGAGTATTTTTCACACAGTAAGCAAGTATTAAGCTACATCGTGTCCAGCACGATGTTCAGAGAATCGCATGTTCTTCTATACTGTAGATTCAGTATCTGTTGATCTGAAGATTTTAAAATTCATATTTATCAACGTAAAACTAACACTCAATGAATTAGATAATGATTGTAAATTTGAGGTACGAAGGAAAATAAAAATATCAACTATAACATTAATTTTATTAGAGCCCTCAATATCTTTAATTTCATTATATTGATCGAATAAATCTTTACCTAATTAAATATCTTTTACTAATTGTTCAATTGTTGATGTGCATCTGTGATCAGATTTATTCTATTGATAAAAGTAGGATATAACGTAAAATCTCTCCTAATGAACATCTCCTGTTTGAAAACATATTTCAGTTTCTCGGATCGAATTTTGCTGTAAAGTGACATCTATACAATGGCGATATACGCAAAAAATTAAACGCGTATAAATAAAAAAAAAACTCGAAAACAAAAACAAAATATTCTATCCTATTCTGTTTTGAATTAAGAATGATGAAACTTATTGATACTTCAATTGCTATAAAAAGAATTCATCATATTTATCAAATAAATGAACAATAATAATTATTAGTTCATGTCCAATCGGACATATCCTATCCTATGTATAAAGAAAATGAAAAAAAACAAGAAAAATGCATTCAACAATGAATTGATTGACTACTATGTCTACAATAATCTACTAAAACATCCAGATTTATATTTACTTTCTGTACAAATAAATTTACCGCCCTCTTAATCGTATTTTTCCAATAGAAACATATTTTGAAGAAAATTTTAAGAAAATTAATTTTATGAAAAGAATGCTTTTATGCGGATAGAAAATTTTTTTTGCAGCAATGGAATGCGGAACGTTACTATATATCGAGCTATTCCATCATTAAAATTCACTGGTACTACATTTCTTTATAGTCTTTTCGAAAAAAAAGCGTCAAAATAAATTGAATATTCAAGTCTTTCTCTAGTTATTTTTATATGAAACGTCACTGCTCTTTACATTCCCTTAGTATTCTTTCGTGTGATATTGCATTTTTATCACTTTACAAATCTTGATCTATATTTTTGCTCTATTTCATCGAAACAGAATAGAACATCTTTACCTTGATTTTATAGATATAATGATTTTGTTTATTTCCACATAATTATTTTGAAATTTAAAACAATTCTGTTTCCTTTTTGTAAAATAAAGATACAATCAAACCTATATGTTATTAAAATAATATTTTTCCGTTGTCCTTTATTGATGATTTGCGGTTGAATATAGTGACATGAAGATGAGCATGAAATTGAAGTAGAAATATATTATTCGTCAAATGATGTTCTCTAGATGCTATGAAATCCAAAAATATATTTGTGAGCTGTGAGGAGCTTGTCTTCTGATATTGTATATAAAAGTAAATAAAGGGTGAGAAGTTTCAATATTATTCGGATAGAAATTTATACGATATGCAAGAAAAAAATGTGGTCATGGAGCAATACACGGGTGTTTCAAGTGGATCGCTGATAACCGTATATCTTCGGACCACGGTATGTTATAGTTTGCAACATAATTTTATAATGAATTTGATTTGATGTGGTGTAATTACAAAACTATGAGAAAGCGTCAAAATACATTCAACAGAAAGAAAAAAACAACTGAATATTGAGGATGTAAGAGAAAGAGTGGATGAAGCCGACGTTTTATACGTAAACTACAAAATTGAAAGAATTTAAAGGCATCAGTATTTCATTGGCATATTGATAATAATGTCGTGATGCATAAAAAAATTTCTTGTTTAGCTTGTTCATCATGTGATAATCGAATAAGAACATCTTTTAAAATGTGAAACCAAAGAAAATCTGATGAAACATTGGTTAAATTACGAATATATACTAATGTTGATGATAACGATAAAAATTAAAAGGTTGAAGTTGTTCTTGAATTATTTTATAATGTTTATGCATTACTTTGATTATTTCCTTTCTATCAACTAGTAACGCTCGTCGAGGCAGACTCGCTATGCCCTCGACTGAACCACTGACTGAAAATAAAATAGTCTTATGTACGTTTTATGCGACAAGAAAGACAGAAGTATAACCTTTGAAAGGGTCCCCAGAGACTGATCTTCATTCCCTTCACAGTCTTCAAAAGAGTCAAAGGACTACTTCTGTTGCTTTTAATTATTCTATATTCCTGACTGACAATTACTCTTCACAGGAAGCAGAAGTTCGCTATAAATGACTATCATGGATTTGCACCTTTGAACATGCCCTCCTTTTTCTATAAGAAAGATAATTTCCGTAAGACCAAATGAGACTCTGTATATATTTCGCATTCGAACGTGTCGGATTGTTGATACTTTGGTAACTGGCTAGATTACCAGGCGCCACTCACAACTCGCCGCTCCAAAGCTATCCCTATCTATCATATAATTACCCGTGTGCTACTAAAAAGTATCGAAAATTAATCGGCATCTCATAGATAAAATTATCCGCGTCCGAACATTTAAGGCTATCTCCTTAATTAAAAGGCTTAAAGGTCTACAAAAACTTTCAATATATCGAAGGTCAGTATTTAAGATTGCTCTCCAGTATGTAACTTGTGAATGAATGTATTTTTGGATTACTGGCCTTTAGTATGCGACAGTCAACCGAGTGTGTTTTTACTTTTTCGTAATCAACTCTTGTATGTAGCCCTCCTCTCAGGCGCGGTTGAAATGTTTTCTTCATTTCTGTCACGTCCCTGCCCCAACACCCGTCATCCAGCCAACCTCAGAATCTCTCCCAAACGATGTTTCATGAAGTTGCGAGCATTTTTGAAAAAAATGTTTTTTTGACCTTTGACTTTGGCCCTGACACAAACAGACAAACGTTTTCTTCATATGACCCTCCTTTCAGTCGAGGGAATATTCTTTTTGAAACATTATAAATTACATAGGACGTTTTGTATTTTATCCAAAGTATGAGAATAAAATTGAAGTTATGTGAGAAAATTTGAATCTTTTAGTGGAAATATTTTCTTTCGCGAAATTTTATAATTAATCAAAGAACGAAAGGAATTCATAACTATCACTCTTTCTATTTTTAATGTCATTGAAATATGAGAATTGCGAATGAATTCTTTTAAATTGCAAGAAAAAAATCGATTTAACAAATGTTTATTATCATTAAATTAGAGTTCGAAGTGAAAAACGTTCGTGTGACTGAATTTCGATTTTTATTCTCTTTCATATTTCTAATACGTCCAAAGTTTCACAAAGTTAAAATAATTCATTGAGTATCCATTGTTGCAAAACTCTTTTATTATCATTGTCACGAGTAAAACTTTGTTGAAATTCACCATTTGGATTTAATCGCTCTAATTAATTTATACGTATCAACATTTTCTTTAATCAATCTTTGTCTATTCAAAAGTATTTGAAAATCGTCTTCATTTTTCTCATTTCATAATTGAAATGAAAACCAATGGAATAGTTAAGAGATTTACTGTCATCGAGATCCGCTTTGACGGTGAGATCAGAATTTTCAAGCTGATCGCATAATATTTTAGCGTTGTCAAAACTAAATAGTTCCTTGAGCAAATGTCCTTCAGGATCCACCCGAATCGAGTTAGGCATTTTTTTGGCACTACGTGACTTTTTCTCGATCAATCTAATTAATTCTTGTCGTAGAGTTAATATTTTTAGTCATTTTATAGACGACATATCTTTGTGAAAACAAACATCATTCTCTCTGCCAAGATATCCTATCCCAATATGTTTCCAATGTGTTTGAACAACTTTTTCACTTTGTGTCGTCATGATCTGATTGAAATATATTGTTATTTCATCTCAAAGCATACCGTTTGTATCTATTGAAGTTGTTATCAATCATCGTATGTAAAAGTAAGAAAACTAGAATTTAAATTATATCGCACAAGTAGTTTTTTCGTAGACCAGTATGGTGAACTGGTGATGTGGTTTCAAACCACTAAAATTCACAGTTTAAAACTCTTGGAATATTGACTCAAAACTTTTTTTTATGTATAATCAAAGATTTCTGGTTTGGAAATTTTTTTTGAAAATAACTTCAAAGATCGATTATTGATCAACGAATTCACGGGAAAATATCGATGGAACTTTGGCACTAAGACCATCGAGATCGTTCGAAAAGACATTATAATAATTTTGCAAAATATCTCTACTGCCCATCTCATTGACAAAGATTTTTATACGTATTTTCCTTACTGTAAATGAAATTTTACTAGTTGAAGAGTGTGATTGCAACCATACTCTCACAATTTAGAATAAAGACGAAAGCTTCTGTGAAAACTTCGAATAATCGTTTTTAAAACTAAATAAAAGCAAAAGATGAATGCTACTGGGGGTACGGGCTATAGTTATCTTGTGTTCAATGATAGTCTCAGACAGCTTCATATTATCTTGGTAGACGAATATTCTTTTTTGTCAACTATTATTTGAGGATCAAGCGACGAGCATTCTTAATTTTTAATCAGATATTAACGAGAACGCTTGGATCCGGCAATTGCCAGTATCAGCGACATACAGATTTCCTTCCAAATCAAATGAGAAACTACGAACACCATTGAATTGATTTGACCCTTTCCTCTTTGATTTCCACCAACAACAATCTCGCCTTGTTTCTTTTCCTTACTCCAACGCATTAATTAATAATTGTCCGAACCACACACATATATTTGACCACAATGATCGACAATCAAATCGCGAGATCTGTTCAATTGGCCAAGCTTACTTCTTTTTCCGACCTTTCCACCATTTCATTACACGATCATTATTCTAGTCCGATACGTAAACTGACTGTTCATCATGAACAAAGATATAGAGACGTCCGTCGAATTGATTAAGTTCATTTCTTTTACCATTTCCACTAGTGATTATTGTTCCTTCTCCTTTTTCTCCAGTTTCCCATCCTCTGACATAGCTTGCCCTTGACACCAAATGCTTTCAAGGAGAATTTCTTGTTCATTTTGATTCCGCCATTGAATTACTCGATGTTTATGCGTATCGACAATCGTATCTGTTGGAAAATGCAATTGATCTGTTCTATTTCCTTTTCCATTCTCACCAGCAATGATTTCTCCTCCTGTCGCATTATATATCCATTTCATAATTCGATTGTAGCTGACATCTGCAATGTAAATACTCCTGTTTGTATCAATGAAGATTCCATGAGGATATTTGAGTTGATTCAATTCTTCTCCGCTTTGATTTCCTCCCGCGACGGTCTTCGCCTCTTGTTCCCATTCGTTAAATTCTATTTGTAAATACAAAATAAAGAATATTTTTGCTAAAAGCTTCCTTTGAAAACAAGAATAAAACAAAATTCTTTACTTGAAGAAAATTTATATCTCAAAACGTTTGAACTCCAAAAGGATCGGATATCTCCTTCTCTCCATTGTATTCTGCTTTTCCAAGCACACTTTCATTGCAGTTAGAAAGAAACTATTCGAAATTTTCAGCTCAATCTCGCATGAAATAGAATATCTCCCGTTCAATTCATTCAAAGCAGAATAAAGAACTTTGAAAAATCTTGTTCATACGCAATATGCATGTTGCTGCTGTTACCATTTCTATTGCAATTGCCGTCTGAGTTGTTGTTGTTGTCGGAATCAGTATGATTAGGATAATTACAACCAGGATTAAGAGTGAAAATACATTACACATTAATCTTTTTCTATGACCATGTAAGCATCTAAAATGACGGATGTGGTTTTTAAAGTTTGCCACAACTTAATGTATTTGTTAGTGATCAATTTAAGAACTCAGGCCAACGTAGGTGTAAAGTATTTATTAAATCAAATATGTATCTATTTGGGGCGAATATACCTCTCATTTAGACTGATATTTTCTGATGCGTGATGCTGAAGCCGTATCTAAAATTCTTAAAACAATTTATCCTCAAACCGTATTGTCGTTGAGATACGGAATGATTGAGAGGTTATGTGAAAAAATCTGGTCACTCTATAGATAAAGGAGTAGCTGCCTAATTCGACTTACAAGATAAGTGACGAATTCCTAATACACTCCTACACATACTTAGGAATAGATAGGAATAGATTTTGTTATACATAGTCTCAGGAATACTCTCAACCGAGCTATATGCCAGCCTATGTCCATCGGTATACACAGGTATAACTAAATCTATTCCTATCTATTCCTAAACATGTACGATTATATAGATATACATCTATTTATATTCAAACTGAGATTAGTCTATCAGATGTCCATTTATAATATAAGTCGAATTAGGCAACTCGTGGATTAAATTATAAACTCCAGCGCCTTGTGGATTTCTTTTCTCTCAAAATATATCATTGATGATGATAATGATAGTTTTAGGCAATATTAAATAAAGCTCATGCCGAATATATGCGTCGTCGGTAACCAAAGGGTTAGTTATTTCCAAGTACTGTCTCCTTGAGACAACAACAAGTATTATTTATAGAAGAATACATTAGAATATAAAAATATTTCAATTCTTTCTATCATTATTATATTCATATATTCGAAACGATTATTTATCATGTCGGATTCAATGTATAATTTAGCCGTGAGTATCTATTTTGCCACAATTCATATCGCTGAAATTATTCCACCAATTCAAATCGCTTTTGGAACATTAGGAAATGTTCTTAATATAATTCTTTTCACTCGTCCTAATTTACGTACTAATCCATGTTCAATGTATTTTTTAGTTGGTTCAATTAATAATTTTTCATTTATTTATTTATTTTCTCTCACTGATTATCTTTCATCTGTTTGGAATATAAATATACCACAAAATACTCAGCTTTTATGTAAATTAATCACTTTTATTCGCCTTATTCCATTCTCTCTTCTCTTATGGTTTCCTGTTCTTGCTAGTATTGATAGATTTCTATCGAGTTCATCAAGAACAGAATATCGCCGATTAAGTAGTTTATCAGTAGCGAAACGAGTAACTATAAGTATTTATCTTTTTTTTCTTCTTCTTCATATTCACATACTTATATTCTTTGAAATGGTTCCATATTTTAATGACTATACTTGTAGTATCTCATCGTATGAATACTATACCTTCTATAACTTTTTCGAATCTTTTTTGGTTTGTATTGTACCAATCGTTTTGATGTGCATTTTTGGTGTATTAATTATACTTAATGTTCGTAGTACTCGTAATCGTGTTGTTCCAAATGGTGACAATGTCAGAATTGAACGAATACGTTCTCAAGATCGTCAAATGGTTCGAATGTTATTATCACAAATACTGATTACTTTCATTATTTCCCTTCCGTATGTGGCTACAATATTGTATTATACATTGGCTATAGTGACGTTTAAATATGAATTTTCACTAGTAGAATCCATGATATATCAATTAGCTAGTCTTTTGGCAAACTATTTTTATCAAACAAATTTTGCTATCGGATTTTATATTTACACATTGACAAGTGGAAAATTCCGTACTGAACTGAAACACTGTCTTCTTAATGGACTTAACATTGTATTAACTAAATTAGGTGTGCAAAGATTCATCCCGATGAGGATGCATCAAGGTTTGCAAAATAGTACTATAGTACGTACCGTAAATATTACTTTCAACAGAACAATACAATTAAATAATACAAAAGGTAGAAATGATTGAATTTCATTGAATATTACAGAATTGCTTCAAATTTTGACACTATATTTTTCGTCTGTATATATATATATATATATATATATTCATATTGATATCGTCTGTTTTGTTGATGCTTTATAATTAAATATATATTGTCAAATCGTTTTGTTCAAAAGAAAGAATAAACATTTGATTTGAAACAGATATTTAACTACACGATGTAAATTACGAGTTGACGAGCTGATAGTGTTATCTATAGTAAATTTCAGCAGTACCGTGCGTTTTATAATTCACTGATCGAAAGGAAAATTAAATATGTCAGACATTCCTCAACCAAATCGAGCATGTTTTCTTAAATGAAAGAGAAATGTTCAAAACACGTTACCCGAAAAGTTGCTGCAACTACTGTTTTGCTGTAAGCGTGAAACGTTTGGTTTCCACCGTTGTGTAGTGGCTGGCTAACTTTAGTAATGGCCGGGGCGGAGCTGGTCCCGTTTATCTGGTTGGTCGCTACGGTAAACAACCAGTCTATCGAACCAGTAATGCTGTTGTTAGTTGTAAGAAAAAACGTTGCGAGTAAAAGCCTGGTAGACTATACTATCATTTATAGACTTAAAAAATCAACAATACGAGAACAAATTTACGATTTTTTCCGACCTTTGGATCCCACAATGCGATATACTCCAGACAGACTTCCTCATCCGTGACACTGTAAGCGCATTGCTAAAACACTTTGAATAATGAAATCTCATACAAACCTTTTCTCATTAAACAGGTCCCTGCATTTGTTCCCTACATGGACAATGTAGCGCAAGAGAATGCCTCCAACGCTGCCGATTCCAACAAAAACATCAACCATTATCCGTCCTCACACACACCCACCCTCAATGATGCGCAAACCAGCTTAAAAAATAAACACATATCTTAGTGTAAAAATTATTTAAACACTTCATTCTATGTTTTTTTTCCAATAAACCAGTTCTTCTCTTTTCGTCTACCCAGGACGATGATTCCTGAAGCAGGATTCCATGAATTTCCGACAAAATTCCTGAGAAAGCTCGCCATTTCTGAGCGGAACCCTCCGGGAAAATGCCAGGAATCTCATGGACAAAAGCGGTAACCATTTCCGGCTACCGGATCCGCTCATCGGGAATATTGCTTCCATGAAATCTCCGGAATACCATGGAACCGGCCGTTTCCGCGCCGGATTGTTCAACCTGGGTAGGTTAGAAAGCCGAGCATCTAGTTAATTCCTCTCTTTTCTTTTAAGATGTGTGCTCATTTTGGTTCAACTGCTCATCAACGAGGGTTCCACGAAAAATAAATTTTATCCTAGAGTAAACTTGTATCTTGAGGGTGTGTTCTGTCCTTTAGACCCACAGCCTATGATAACGAAAAAAACTATTTTCAACTTTGGTAAAATAAGAATATTTATTAATTTCAAAAACTCATATTTTCTTCCATCTTTCTTTGCACTCAAATCTGTTACTATTTGATCTATATTAATTTCGAAATCTTTTTCAATATTCAAAAGAGCAATATCTGATAATCTTTCTTGTCCCATACTATTTCTTGAATAAGTTTTGTATATTATGTAAGTTTTTTTTTAGGTACGGCAATTGTCCTCTGATCGTCCGCCACTGCTCGAATTTACATATCACCGGACGTACACACCATCAAGATCGCTCCATGCTAGAGCTGTGACTAATTTTCAACTTCTCCACAGAATGATTCATCTGCTCATGTGAAATAGGAGAGAAAAGAAAATATTACACTATGATTCTTTATATGTGGCTAATGCTGACGCACTCACACAACTGAGTAATATGTTCTTTTGAAACAAAGCCGCGTAATGTGTCAATATTTATGCATGTAATCTAAAACCTTTATCGTTCTCTACATAAAAATCGATTAATCTTTGATTATTTGATATAAGATTTTTGCAGTGAACTTTGTATTAAGGACATTACGATCAATTACATTGTGTTTTTCCTTTTTGATAAAGAATCACGTCACTCGGCTCCCCATCATTCCACGATTTAGAATGATGAACATTCACCAGTTTCGACTATGGTTTTTGACAATTACCACATTCATCTATATCTCTGACACATCCGACTCGAACAATTTCTACTATTCAACGAATGTCACAGAAGCCACAAACAAATTTGTCGCAGCATGTCTCAATGTGGAAGGTTCGATCGAATATTTCATTCATCCTTTAAAAGGCGTTCATGACGAACCATTGCAAGCAACAGTCTGTGCTCGAGGTAATTCACATGCACGTTCGATCATCTATACTATCTCTGGTACGCATGGCATAGAAGGTTATGCTGGATCAATGGCTCAAATTAGTATGCTTCATATGTCATCTTTGATACCTTTCGATAATGTTCGAGTTGTTCATTTGCATATGATCAATCCCTATGGTGCTTCTTTCATTTCTAAAGAGAATGAAGATAATGCTGATCAATTGAAAAACGAACCGAAATATTATGATCTCGGTTACGATAATTCTATACTACAACGTCTGATCGATGGGATCGATTTACCGAATTTGTCAAATCAAACTGTTCAACAACAAGCATTTGCTCTATTTGCTCAATTGATGGCTGAGCATGGTGAGCATGCCGTTAATACAGCTCTAAAAACTGGTCAAGGTAAACGACCGCAAGGTATTGGCTATTTTGGACCGTTCAAATCATGGTCCAGTGCAACAAGTGAACAAGTGGTCAAGAAATATTTGCAAAATGCCGACAATGTTCTTCTCATCGATTGGCACACCGCTGTCGGTTTGTATGGCAATTGGACTTATTTGCCGATGGATAACGTATCAGCAACAGCGTTTCAACGCTGGATTCCAGATGCTCCCACTGAGCCTTATGATATAGTCGTACCAATCGGCGGTGAATTGCCTTACAGTTCCATTAAGTCAATATCGGGCGCTAAACATTTGATGCGTGTTGCCTGGGAAGCTGGCACTTATCAAGTGACACCAGATATTAGTGCCATGTTTTTTCAACGACTGTACTGTCGCTTTTACAGCAATCTGAGCGACCCATTTTGCCAACAAATCATTGCCAAGACCAGAGAGTATTTCTATCCACAAGGAACTGATTGGAAAATATTAACCTACAATGCGATTAATGAACTTCTTCCTCGAATAGTGTCTGGCTTTGTTGGTGAAATAAGCAACGGTACACCATCGATTATGTCTCATTTTTTAGAGACCCTTGCACTATTGATATGTCTCCTTAACTTTACAATTCAACTGAATCGCTGAATCTATTAAGATGCGTTTCATCGCTCGATCAAATATTCATTTTATCTTGGTTTTAAATGATGTAGAACCTCTTTCCTCTTTTTCAATATACATATATGACTTTGCGCAAAATGGACGGATTCTAATAAACTTGAAGGTGAATGTTAAATAGATGTAGTACTTATACACCCACACTCTCACACTCACCCTCAAGATGCACTAGCAGCTGATCCGGTCGAATCTCTTTCATATAGCACAAAGAAAATCCGATGAATGGAACTTCTAGATCCGCGCAGAATCCGACAAACCTCGATTATCTCCGGGGGGTCGGACTAGGCTAGATAAGTCTAGAAATGATCGGATCTTAAAACCGGATCTCGTCGATTCCGAAAACATGGATCTGACCGGACCTTCGCGAATCCGACTAGAAGATTGCAAAAGAAAACAACGAATGATATCGGAATCCGACAAAAAGTAGTCGACCGAATTCGCTTATCCGTATTGCATCGGATTTGATACCCTCCCGACAAGATCCGATGTACCCGCTTCGACCTGGGTATATGCATTGGTCGAAGAACCAAATCCAAAATGAGTGAAATCTTGAAAAGCTTCAACCAGAACTCATTCCAATACCAATAATGGAACAAACCTTTCAGGTAGACATTTCGGATATTCTTACGAAGATAAACAACAAAAAATCAAAAACAAATAGAAAGACAATATTATCGATTAAGCGACGCGCACTACCTCTTGTACCGGCCTATTCTATTACAGCTCATAAAAGTCAGGGACAAACTTTAAACAAAGTTGTAATTGATTTAAAGCTACCAAAAGATACAGATGATATCGCTGCAGTCTATGTACCGTTATCCAGAGTCAAACGTTTAAGTGATTTAATTATTTTGCGACATTTCGATTACAAAGTCTTAGTAACCAAACCCAGCAAATCTTAAGTTGCCGAGATGCAAAGACTAGACAAGCTCTACATGGAAACACAAATGTGTTTGTCATGATAGTTTTCAGAAATTCGATAGAAAACACAAATCACCGTTGCTTGTCATCCATTTTGCGCATCGGATTCATTTCTATCACTTGTAACTGTTCAAATTTCTTGTATAGTTAAACATTTTCTCTATTAGTTCGTTCTTTTGTAATGGAAACCCAAATTTTGTTTTCAATTTTACCGTAACTATTATGTTTTGTCCCACGCTTCTTATTCGTACTCGCATATACTTTATCCATATTTTGACTTCTTTAGAGACTTAGTTAGAACTAATACAAAAAAATATTCGCTTTCTTTCATGTAGTTGTTTATTATATCATCAACTTGTCGTTATTTCATTGAAAAACAGATAAATCAACTTCATATTGGAAAACATTTTCTCTTATATGATATGAAATAAAAAACAATAGCAAATTGATTATTGCATATAGAGGTGTAAGCCGATGACTCTATCAGCGACGGTGGCTGAAACTTTTTGCAATTTCCGATCGTCACGACGGCGGCGCCTAGAATTCTTGAATAGTTCTTTGAAAAATATTTCGAATTTTTTTAGATTTTTCATCGAAAACAACGAAAAACGATCGTATATAGTGTTATAATGGAAAACTAGATTAGACTAAACGAGAAAAATAATTTTGAAAACTGAAAATATCTAAAAGTTTAACTCTTGCATCTGTCTCATGGCGGCGGCGGCTTGAAAAGTTTTGGAATTTTAGTCTCCACGGCGGCTAAGCCGCACGGCTTACACCTCTAATTGCATATGAATCTTTTCAGTCGAGGGCAATACGAGTCCGTCTCGACGAGCGTTATTTATTATTATTGATGAACAATAATTTCAAAAAAATATTTGGTAATAATTAGAGTTTTAATAATTTCATTGTTATCAATAAATATAAAATGTATTGAACATATTAAAAAGAATTTTTCTCATGAAAGATTCATTGATATATTTATTTGATCATAGAACTTCTTTATTCAATAGAAATTTTTCTTACAAAGCACCATTGATTTTCAAGAACACAGCACTCAAACACACAGGAAATATAGCTATGATAAAAATAGATGAGTTTTACGCTTTGACAACATCAATGTTCATGAAAGTAACGAAAATAGAGAATAAAATCACTAATATAGTTATTTAATCAAGGATTCGCCAGTTTATAAACATCCATAGTATTCAATTCTCGAGAATATACACGAAACTCATCTATATCTCCAACAAACGCGTCTGAAGTAATTGATCCTCGATAACATGAATTTCCATCAAATGAATTACCCAATGTCAATGTACTCATTTCTTTTGAACCTATATAAGATATCGGACCTGTTGTATCGTAAAACATTCCATTAATATAAAGAATAAGTCCATTTCTCAATGAATAAGTAATAGCAATATGTGTCCACATATTAATAGGTAACAATAAACCAACTATTTCTTTATTCGTAGAACCACGTTTAATAACGACAATTTCGCCGGTAGATCGAAAACCAATAAGAGTAGTACATTGTCCTGCTCCACTTGCTTGTGTCAAAAGATGAAGAACTCCTCCACCTGTGAAATTTCGTTTAATCCATAATGATATTGAATACGACTGATTAGAAATTCCAAATAAAGCGAATGCAGAAATCTAAATAAAAACATGAAATATTGATTTTGTCAAGGTTGTTTTAATAACGCCAACATCATACCTGATAATAGGATGAACTTGAATTCAAATGAATGGCTTGATTAACTTTACCCGTGACTAAGTAGACATTATTAACTGTTGCCATTAATCCCAATGAACTTGAATCATTCCATGATACACTATCAAATGAATGCCATGTCATCAATGTAGCATCATTGAGAATTTCTAAATCGCTTTTCGTTCGCATAGTCAATGCAACATTATCAATAAGACTAAATATAATTTAGAGAATTTTTCGATGCAAAACTTTTCCCTTACCCATGAAAAGAATTAGATATATTATATATCTGAAATGTTCCAATATATATATCACCTTTACTTCCTAGGTATGGTCCAGCTGAATCACCACGACAATCTTGAATTCCATTTAAATAAATAATTTCTGATCTTGATCGATAATCATAAACAAAAGCAAGGTGGTACCAAGTATTTATTTCTAATTGGGTTCTGCATTGAAGATTATGAATTAGGGATCCCGTTATCAAACGATTGAAGATTATCGCTAAATGTAAAAGATGACCTTTTCCCAGCAGATCATTGTAAGTGAGAAGCCCAAATATAAAATTATCCGTTGATTTACTTAAATATATCCACATTTCAATTGTAAAACTGGCATTAACAAAATCTTTAGTTGTTGACATTTTTACATATTGCCCTTCATCACGATTGATTTGCAAAGCATATCCATTAGCCGCAATACCAGATATAACATAACTGGGTGAATTGATAGGTATTCCGTGAAGATTTGATATACTATCCAAAGTATTATTATCAAATTTCCATAAACTAGATGAATCATATTCGTATGGAGTTGTTACTAAATATAAGAGAATTTCAAATCTTTCTTTGAGTAATGTTTATGTTTATAAAACTAACCTTGAGCTAATTGAGCAATTTCATTCAATGATAATTCACGAGAAAAGATTTTCAGTTCATCAATTTTTCCTCGAAATTGTGATGGAATAATTTGTGTTATTCCATTAGAACAAATACTTGGTGAAAGACAAGTTCCTACGACAATTGTATATCTTGAACCTTTAGTTAAATAAGTACGTTGTTTGTTATTTTCATTTGTAAATGATCCATTAACGAAAAGTTGAATACCATTCAGTGTTGAATAAGTCATCGTTATATGAGTCCATTGATTTAATGAGATTATTCCTGAGGTGAGTGAGCTTGAATAAATCCCATTCATGCCAAATGTTTGAATTGTTAGACGACCTAAAGAATCGAAGCCAATTGTTGGTACACACCATGATCCATCTATAGAACTAATTTGAAGAATAGTTCCATTAGTAATAAATGGATAAATCCATAAGGAAAATGAAAATGTATAGTTATTTTGACCAAGATAATAAAAGCCTGTTGTTTGAAAATAAGACAAATCTGTTGAATTAATTAATAAGCATTGATCAAATCGACCATTGGAGTCAAACATTGTTGAAAGAAATGTATTATTTATCATTTGATTTGGTCCAGTATCATTGTATGAATTATCAAATGGATAATGTGCAACAAGAGTTGCTTCTTCAAGAATTTCTTCAGAACTTTTAACACGTGATTCAAATGTCAATTTATCAATAAAACCATTCAGAGGATATATTTGACTGATTAGCGGTAACCCACCGACAACGACAGCATTTGCAGTACCTTGAAATCGACGGTTAGCTATTCGACTCCCATCGCAAATTCCATTGACATAAACATGTTGTTGTAATGACACTGGATCATAGGAATAAGCAACGTGGTGCCATTGATTGATAACTAATTCAGTATTCCCAAATAAAACATCATTGCCGAAATCGAAAGCGAGTTTTCTATTACTCACAACCATTAATAAACACATGTTATTCCCAAGTGCTGCACAATAAGTAAATAAAGGGAAAAAATGCGTTTCTGATAAAAGACTGTCTGGAAGCCATATCCAAGCAGAAACAGTTAATTCAGTCGAACTTAAATCCATACGTTCCTTAACAATCATATAGTTAATAGATGCAAAACAAGCAGCACTTCCATAACCAGTATAACCGGGAGACATCCATCTAGTACTATTCCTATTTTCTATCAATCGTCCACTGTAACGGTTATATACATCGTTTAAATTTCCATCGAATAACCACTGAATTCTATCTGGTACATTAGTTATAGCTAAATCAAGGTAGATATCTTAAGGATGAATAGAGACATTGACTTCTACGTACATATTCTGTAGTGGAATATACTTCGAAAGATTTTAGATATTCTATACATCTATACTAAAGGATATCGGACAACAGAAAGACAGAAACTGAGAATGTGTTCTGAGAAAAGACTTCACAGTTATGAATGTATGAGGTCATATTCCTTTTTTACTTTTCAAGCTAGTCGACACTTTTCGAGAGGGTCATAAAAAAACTCGATCATATTTTTTTAAAAAGCGTTCAACACACGGTGTCGTTTTATGTATTGATCTTGATTTGGAAATTTTTCATGAAAATTGACCGTCTCAGAGAGAGTATTGCAACGATTTCTCACATATGCGTCTCATCAGAAAGATATGAATAACCATTTTCATACTTTTTCATGAAAATAGCTTTCAAAATATTGTTCACTTACCTAAAGAAAGAGAAGCCGATGATGGCCCATGTACAATCAGTGAAAATGTTCCTGTTGTAGCTGCTTTATATGTTGTTACAACGATAATATATTTTATATGACGATGAAGATCTATTGTAAATTTGAATTGTTCATTTTCAGCAGCATCTGCGTCTTCTAAAAAGAGATTTTTATATGGAAATAATGAATTGAACGTATCATTATAAATGTATCCATGTATATCCATAGTGCTGTTTGAAAATATCGTATAACGACTAGTTGTTTCTACATGAACTTGAATAGCTTCATAACGGAATCCAGCATTTGGCCAAGGACTATTAGCACGAACATATAATGCACTTGATGATGTCAAGGCTGATGAATAAACTAATGTAGAAAACAGAAATCAAATATAATTATTCTAAATGAACGAAAAAAAACGCTAAATACGACTAGCTGCCTAATTCAACTTATAATATAAGTGACGAATTCCTAATACACTCCTACACATACTTAGGAATAGATAGGAATAGATTTTGTTATACATAGCCTCAGGAATACTCTCAACCGAGCTATATGTCAGCTTATGTCCACCGGTTTACACAGATATAACTAAATCTATCCCTATCTATTCCTAAGCGTGTAGGATTATATAGCTATACATCTATTTATATTCGAACTGAGATTAGTCTATCAGATGTCCATTTATAATATAAGTCGAATTAGGCAACTCATGCTAAATACTGCTTAAAAACTGAATGCCTATTGTCGTTAATGTTCCTGTAAGTGTTGACGCCGATGGTTCTACACTTGTCGACGCTGACATATCTGTTGTTTTCTTTGCACGAAGCACTAATGGCATTGTTATGCTTAATATAATCATAATAATAATTACACAAGCAAATATCGTGTATATGATTTTTTTTCTGTGCGTTTGTAAACAACTAAAATCAATGAATTTGTTCTTTTGTTTAATATAACTTTATGTATTTGCATACGATGAGTGTCTTTCAACGTTTGATGTTTGATTTGAATGAGAAATATCAGTTGAAGACTGAAACAGTTAAACATAATTAAATTAAAGTCTTTTCTTTACTCAATTTTGACTCGATTACATTAGAAATGTTTATTCTGTTATTTTGCATTGTTGATTGCCGAGTCGAATGTTATGTTCTTATCAATGAAAATCTGGAAAAACGAAACAGATACACGATACTTATATTTTTAGAAGAAGTATTACGTAAGAGCCAGATTCAAAAGATTGAACGGAGTTTCAGTCGAGAGTGAGAATGAGTAATGTGAATGAGATTTCGTGCTCAATCAATCAAAGATCTAAAGAAAGATGAAAACGAGATGAAAATTCTCATCGACCGATCGGCAAGAGAACATTGGATGAAATTCTATATCCATCCACTTGTCTCAGAGAGAAAGTTCGCCCAATTGAAGATCAAGTGGATATTTGATTGACAATGCACTTAGACGATTGTGTAACGGTAAAAATGTTAGAATGCCGACGATACATCCGTGTGTATTTCAGAATGCTACGAAGTTTATCGATTCTGTAAAATAGCATAGAGAATGTATGTGATCATAATGGGAATAGTGTAACTAGACTGCAGTGGGGACAGTAAGAAAATGGCTGGATTCGGATGACTACACAGTAGAAGTTGATCGCTTGCAGACATTCACGGGAAGATATATCCCTGTGATAGATGGTAAATCTCAAGCAAAATCATTTCCCAGGTCGACAAATCCCTTACTCTGATCCGATCGGATCCAACGTCGGATTTGTTGACTTGGGTTTTGCATCTCTTGTCGTTGTCTCAAATATAGAGTGTTCAAGATGGAAAGTTCTGAACCAACATCGGATATATCCACCAGTGCTTTACAAGTGTGCTCATAAAAGTAATTAACATTCTTTTTTATTAATACATTATATTTTTCATATGCTCTTTTCTCAATCTTTCTATATTTTCTCAACATCTTATCTACGCTCTCCAATCGTTCTTGTTGAAAATCTCTCTAAAATATTATATATTGAGAGAGAGAAAGTTACATACATTCGTACACGAATGTGCATTTAGAGACACTTAAGAGAGGGCCTATGAGTTCATCGAGTATCCTTCGATATATCGAGGCACTCGTCAAAATTTTGTTTTGCAATTTGACAATCTCATTCCCTACAGCATCATTAGAAACTCTTAAATCCAAATTTTTAGCGCATTTGGTCGAGCCAGTGAAGAGCTAGCTAAATTTTACCGTCGAAGACTCAAAAATGTATTTTCGAATTTCGCTCAACATTCTGTCCAACAGTTTGAGGCTTATTTCGATAGGAAGAACCTATTGAAATTCTTACTGCGACACGTCAAAAGATGCAGCGTTGAAAGCTGAACAAAAACTGCATATTTGCAACTTCTTTTTGTATCGGATGAAATTTATTTTTTAGTCAACACTGCAAATAATAACCCATGTTTCAAGTGAAAAAAAGGTGACTATTTTTCACTATATCCACTATCATTCAGTCAAAATATGGGACCCTAAGCTGAATTTTTGACATGTTGTACATCTGATTCTCCTCTAAAAAAATAGCTTTTCAAAAAAGTTTAAAAAATGGTATGCTTTGGGTGAAAACCGTGTCCCAAATTACGGTTTTTAGCCGTTTCTTAAGGGCTTTTGAGAGAAATTGAATATATAGCATCATTTTTTGAGTCCCTATCATCGTCAGATTAAAAAAATGAACCTGATATTCGGAGTCAACGCAGAAAACTGACCTTGTAACTATCGCAACTAGAGACAAAAAATTCCGAAAACTGACCTGTGGTGCCCCACGGCTCATGTCACTATAAACCAATGCCCCTACACCCCGCCAGGCCAATTTTCGGAAATTTTTTTGTCTCTAGTTGCGATAGTTTCTAGGTCAGTTTTTTGTGCTGACTCCGAATATTAGGTTCATTCTTTAATCTGGTGATGACCTGGACTCGAAGAAGGATGGTGGATATTCGATTTCTCTCAAACACCCTTAAAAAACGGCTAAAAACTAAAATTCGGGGCCCATTTTCGCCCGAAGCGTACCGTTTTTTAAATTTTTTTAAAAGCCATTTTGTAGAGGAAAATCAGATTTACAACATATCAAAAATTCAGCTTGGAGTCCAATATTTTGACCGAATGATAGTTGATATAGCGAAAAATATTCACCTTCTTTCATTCGACATATAATAAAATTGTAGCTCTTGAAATTGATTTTGAATGTGATATAAGAGAATTTTGATCCATTTCATTTTTCTATTAAAATGTTGCCATATATATATATGGATATATTATTCATCATAGGAAGTGATTAAACGAAGGTTAAAAAATAGATTCAATAGTTGGTTGCGATCTCGAACTGTAGCTCCATCAAACAGCTATCAGACTAATCCTAACAAGACTAGTTTTGCGTATGTATGAGCTTCGAATATCGATATATACCGATTATATCGGTATGCGAGACTTGAAACTAGTAATTAAAAAATAGGTTCATTTTAAGAACGGTCTTAAGTCTTCTGGCTTGGATCGAAATTTAATGGTCTTTGCATTAACACGTTAGTTTTGATAATATTCTCTGATTATATTTAAACAACGCTTAAAACTTAATTTTTTATTTATGAGTCATGGATAGAAATAGAGAGCGAAGTGACATGGCAATTTTGTGTGCATCTATTTTAGACGGTGTTTGTTTCACTTTGCCCAACGAATATTTTAGGACTGTCTACCATCTGTTATTTCAACAGAAACATTGCAGCACAATATTTGGAGACGTATATGTTGTTCTAAAATTGTCAGTCGATAATGGATATGCTGGTTAAATCAAAATCAATTCAAGAGCTGATGGGCCACGATGTGATTGTCCTTATCGGAGCGCCATGTTCGGGCAAAACTACCCAGGGGAAACTTTTGGCAGATGCTCTCGATCGACCATATTTATCACCTGGAAGTCTTTTTCGTGCTGAAGTAACCAAAGGTACTGTGTTTGGACAACAGTTAGCAGCATACATGGATTCGGGAGAGACAATTCCAAATGAGTTGACAACAGCATTTCTTACTGTTAAATTCAGCGATCCACTCTACGAAAACGGTATGATCTTAGATGGATGTCCACGCAGTGCATCGCATCTTGTAGTCCTTGAAAATATCTTGACAAACCTCGGCCGACGTATTCTTGCTGCTGTCTATCTTGATGTACCTAAGGCACAACTTGATGAACGTCGAGTTCAGCGTGGTCGTAAAGATGACAATGCTATTACTGCTGAACGTCGATATGCAATCTTTAAAGAGGATATCGCTCCTTTACTCAATTTGTTGGATCTAAAAAAGAAACTTCTCAAGATTCAATACACCTCCGAATCTTCTGAAGGAGTTCTTCGACGGATACTTATAGAATTAGCTGCATTTATATCATAGACTTCGATATACATAGGGTAGTCAATAAGTTCTCGGAATTTTCTATATATCTCTCGAATAATTGTAATTCCTCCGTTTTTTTGCATCATATATTCGAGTTAGTTAGTGTGATATT